CTGTCCAGGTTCCTGGCTTTTAATCCCCTTTCTCCCACTCTCCCACTCTGCTGCTTTGGGTGTGCCTGGGTTCCCTCTCCTCACCTGGATCCCTGCGTCTAGAACACTGATTACATTCTTCAATTTGTTAAATAATGCTGACCTTCTTTTTCCAAATTGTTCCACCCCCATTAGCATCAACTCACTGCTCCCTAAACTTCCTATCTAATCTTTTGAGTTGTCAATTTAATCCCATATAGCTAGATCTTAAAAGAGCACAATGCTCAAGGTGACATTCTTCACTAGTTAGGCTAACCAACTGTGATAGTTAATGTTGTAAAACTTGACTGGGCCATGATTCTAAGTGGTTTAGCAATTATGATGTAGTCATCCCCCATTAATAGATTTAAGAAGTCAAACAGTTGAAAGGGAGTTTCCTGCTTTTTATATATATATGGAAAAGCCTGGGCAAAGCTCTCAATCTTTTTGCTCAAGATCCTGCATCTGGCTCATCATTATCTGGACTTGAACCACTGGCCTCCATATTGCCTGCCAATCATGGAATTGTTGCCTTCACAGCCTGTGAACCAACAGCCTGCCATTTTACCAGTCAATCTTGGATTCATCAGCCTCTGAAGCAAACAGCTTGTTGTATTGCCTGTTTATCTTGGGTCCTTGAGCTCCTGCAGTTACATGAGTCAGGAGAAGCTTCCAGCTTGACATTTGACCCGCAGAACATGGAAGACCTTTCTATCTATTTAAGTCTTCTTTAACCTCTTTCAGCAGTTTTGTAATTTGATTGTATTAAGTCTTTCACATCCCTCATTAACTTTATCCTAGCTACTTTATTCTCTTTGATGCTAATGAAAATGGTATCATTTCCCTAGTTTCCCTTTCAGCTTTCTCATTGCTGGTATACAGAAACTCAACTCATTTTAGTTTGCTGACCTTGTAACCTGCAACTTCACTAAATTCCTCTATTAGCTCTAGAAATTTTCTTGAAGACTCCTGGATTTTCTACATGTAGAATCATGTCATCTAGAAATAGAGATAATTTTGCTGCTTCTTTTCCAATCTATATACCTTTTATTTCCTTCTCTTGTCTTATTGCTCTGGCTAAGATTTCTAATATAACGTTGAATAGACATGGTGACAGCAGGCACCCTTGTCTGATTCCCAATTTCAAGGGAAAGGTCATTCTCCATTAAGTATGATGGTGACTGTTAGTTTTTCATATATGCCTTGAATAATACTGAAAGAATTCCCTTCTATTCCAATATTCCCTAGGATTTTCATCAAGAAAGGGTGTTGAATTTTATCAACTGCTTTTTTGCATTCATAGAGGTAATCACATGGTTTTTATCCTTTGTTCTTTTGATGGGATGTATCACATTGATTGATTTTCTAATCTTATCCTTGCATTTTTGGAAGAAAGCCCACTTGGTCATGGGGTAACAACAAACATAACACACTGCTGTAAAGTCGGATCCAACTCATAGCAACCCCTCCTTGGGTTTCCAAGGCAGTATCACTACATAAATAGATTGCCCAATCTTCTTTCTGCGGAGTGGCTGGTGGGTTTGAGCTGCCAGCCTTCTGGTTAGCAGTCAAATGGCTTAGGCACTATGCCACCAGAGCTCCTTGGTCATGGGGTATGACTCTTTTAATACACTGTTGGAATCTGTTTGCTAGCATTTTGTGTGTGTGTGTGTGATTAGTAGCATTTTGTTGAGGATTTTTGCATCTATATTCACAAGAGATATTGGCCTATAGTTTCTTTTCTTGTGGTGTCTTTATCTGGCTTAGGTATCAAGGTTATGTTTGTTTCATAGAATGAATTAGAGAGTATTCCTTTCTTATTTTTTGGAAGAGTTTAAACATCAGCATCAATTCTTCTCTAAATGTTGGTAGAATTCTCCGGTGAAGCATCTGGTTCAGGACTATTTTTTGTTGGGAGGTGTCCTCAAGTTTTGCCTGAGGCTTCCTGCCCTGCTCTGTGGAAGTTGCTTACATCTGAGATGGCATTCAAAGAAAACACAGGCTGACTTTCCTCCATATCAAGAGGAAGAGGAGCTGGCACTCCCCAGAAAGACCTTTGAGAAATCTGTCATGTTTTCAGAGCTCCAGTGGCCCTGTGGTATCTGGAGGAGCAGTCTCCACTTAGGTGACCCACCTCCTGGTTTCACTATAAGGAACCGTGTGTAGAAGTTTGCATCGATCCAGCAACTAACAGTTACTGGAAAGGGAAGGGCTGTCTCCTTCTGATCAGACTCCCAGGGAGGTCTGCCTTGTTGCTATCAAACACCCCCTGCCCAGGACATTGCTGGCTATAAGTGTAGCCACCACTCAAGATATCTGCCTCCTAGACACAGCAGCTTCAGTTAGCAGGCCTTAATGCTGACCAGAAATGGGGGCAGACTAACCCAAATTGACCCTCAAGGAGGTCTGTCCTATTGGTTGCAGAGGTCTGAGCTACAAAAAGTTAGGGAGAAGATGAAACTAGAATTCATACACAAGAACAAGAACAAGCAAAAAACAAACACAAAAAATAATCACACAAATAATATGGACAAAGGGCCAGACTTAGGCATGAACCCAGACTGACCTCTCCAGAACTCTGGAGATAGGACAGGGCCCAGGTGATGTCTGAGTCCCAGATCCTATGGGACAAGTTTCTGTTGAAGAGACACGGACAATGGAGACATGAAAATGATCTAGCCTAAGACTGACCACGTCAACACCCACACAGTCCTGAGCACTGACTGGGCACAGACCTTGTCCACACTCACCTCCTCCATTGCCTGCTCTTGTCTCTAACTGTAACAGAGTCAGCACAGTAAACCTGTGGATTCTGGAACATTTTCAGGTTTTCATTTATTTCCTCTCTTAAATTTTCAGAATTTTCCTCTCAATTAACCCATCAACTTCACACCTCTTGGCAAAAATATGAGTAATCAAATTTATTCTCAGATTCTCATTCTCAATGGAGAAGTGAGATACTGCCACTCAGAGCAACAGGAAGTTACATCAGGTATGGAGATATTACAGCAGCACCTCTGGCGGAACAGGGACCATTGATCAAGGAAGGGACACAGGTCAGTGTAGGGAGAGGGTCTCGGTGGACAGAACTGGGCTACTCTCCCCATATCCTCATATTATTCTTATAGGAACACAGATACATCAGACATCAGTTGCAGAAAGATAAATTAAGGATTCTTGATCACAAAGCTTGGTGTGAACAAATCTTCTAATACGAAAGTCCCATGCAAGTCAGCAGTCTCACATTACATAAGAATCATGAGAAAATTCAGGTTAGTCGCTGTATGTGCTGATATTTTGAAAAGCCCACCACAATCTCAAAATGTCCAAATACAAAGAATCCCCATAACCTAGTCCTGCCACCTCTGCCCCAAGCACTCTCCTAAATCAAGCCCTCCAGGGTTTCACCTTTAGAAGCCAAGAGAGACGCATCAGAGCTCTGGCCACTACTGCTCCCTGAAGAATAATAAAAGCAGGATCTGGTCAGAGTCCACTGGAAATGAGGCTTGGAAGATGGGAATTATGTGGAGAAGAGGTTCCCCCAGAGGCTTCTATCAACACTATCCTAGAGGTTACAGGATCAGCCTCCCTCCCTCCATACCTATTTGCAGCTTGAATGTAGCTCCTTCCATTTCCACCTGTGGGAAGAAAACATTCTGTGAGAGATTGGGGAGGCAGGATCACGAGGTCCTAGAAGAGTTGGCTAGTCCTGGACCTCAGGGAAGTTCCCAGAACTGTGACTGCAAACACAGGGCAGGATAATGAAGCTTAGGGAAAGATGTGCAGAGACTGAACCAACCACACTCCTGGAAGTTTGCCATCAGCGGGAAACTTCCCATGTGACCTGAAACTATTAGGAATCGGGGCTCCATCACCAGAACCATTAAGGTGAAAGATTTGCCCTTCACTTTCACATTTGCTTTACAAAAGAGTAATTGTTAGCCCACAGGGTCCCAGACTAGGTCAGCACATGTGTGAATGGTGCCTCCCATAATGAGGCAAGAGACTGGAAATCTCCTGGGACCTGAAATCCTCCAATTTGACATGAAAACTCAGACCCCACACCATCTCTACCTGAGCTCTTCTTCCTCCAGATCACAGCTCCAGCCACCACAGCTCCAAAGAGGACCAAACCAGCAATGATTCCCACAATAAGGGTGGTAAACTGAGAACGGGACTCTGGGAAGACAGGGGAATGTAAGGGCCCTGAGCCTTCTGTAATTGCCCAGAAGGGCTCCTGCTTTCTCTGAGAAGCTCTGCCCTCGTTCCCCTCCATACCCCATCTCAGGGTGAGGGGCTCCGGCAGGCCCTCGTGCTGCACATCACATGTGTATCTCTGCTCCTCTCCAGTGGGCACCACGATGGCCACCCACTTCTGGAACGTCCCGTCCCCTGCAGGCCTGGTCTCCACAGACTCCATGTCCTGGGTCTGATCCTCCCCATTCCGCTGCCAGGTCAGGGTGATCTCTGCTGGGTAGAAGCCCAGGGCCCAGCACTTCAGTATAATTTCATGGTGAGCGATGTGGTGGCCAGTCACATGTGTCTTGGGAGGCACTAAGGGGAAGGATTAAACAATTCAGGAACTCTGCATTACCTCCCATGGGCTACCTGAGCAGTGCTCATGTGATCATCTCGAGAATGGACAGGGCAATTAGGGTGGGAGAAGGAGCGCAAAACACAGACACCAGCCTGGACCAGAGATCTGAGATAATCTTGTATTCCTTGGAATGTTCTAGTATCAGGGTGAGGCAGTCCAGAGTAGGAGGGTCCGGGTGTATGAGGGGGAGAGCAAGGATTTTTAGTTCTGACTTGAGTCAGAGACCCAGAAACTCAGAAAAGCTGGAATCAGACCTTCAAACTCACTGGATGTGGGGCAGGGAACATGGTTTGTGATAGAAAAGTCCCCGGTGGTTCCCAGGGTCGAGTCCTGGATCAGAGGGAACTGCTGATCAGTCAGGAATCATGTCCCCTACTATGCCCAGAGAGCGTGGATCCCTTATCTGTCAAAGAATGGAGAGCTCCTCTGGGCAAGCACTCTCTGAACAGGATCTAGAAATCTATCCCATTTTCCTCCCTTCCTTTAGAGACCCCAGCAGGGCAAAGTCCCAGCTCAAAGGGTGTTTGGGGAGGCTCCCTGAGGTCCCTCGTACCTGCGGACTGCAGCTTCTCCTTCCCCTTCTCCAGGTATTGGAGGAGCCACTCCACGCATTCCCCTTCTAGGAAGGCCACAAAGCGCTCCGCCTCCCCCTCCTCCTCCCACTTGCGCTGGGTAATCTGAGCGGCCACGTCCGCCGCAGTCCAGGAGCGCAGATCCTCATTCAGGGAGATGTAATCCTTGCCATCATACGCGTGCTGCCGGTACACGCGGAGGAGGCGCCCATCCGGCCCCAAGTAGCATCCTGATACCCCCTGGTAGGTGTGAGACCCTGCCCCCGCCCCCGTGGTAAGCCCCGCCCCCGCGGTAAGCCCCGCCCCCGCGGTAAGCCCCGCCCCGCGGTCCGGGATGGGCGGTGATTGGTTCTAAACTTAAAAGGAAACCAGAGAGAATCCCCGAGGCTTTGCGGGAGTGGAAGGGTCAGGGGTGACCCTGGGCCTCGGGATGAAGTTGGAACCCAGAGACTAGGGGCGACTCCTACTTGGTGACGAGAGGACTCGCGACTTGCGGCGTCACTCACTGGAGTCGCTCTGGTTGTAGTAGCTGCGCAGATTCCTCAGGCCCACTTGGTGATTCTGTGCGTTGGCCCTGGCGTCCCGTGTCTCCAGGTCCCAATACTCCGGCCTCTCCTGCTCCAACCACGGCGCCCGCGGCTCCATCCTCGGATTCGTGGCGTCGTTGTCGAACCCAATGATCGGCGTGTCATCCACGTGGTAGACAGCGATGTACCAGGGCTTCGCGCGACCAGGCTGAGACATGGCGGTGTCGATAAACCTCAGGGAGTGGGAGCCTAGGAGCGCGAGGAGGTTGAGACCACCTATCCCCCTCGGTGCGCATCACCCCCGCGTGATGTCCGTGGGGTTGGAGAGTGTTGGAGCCAGAAAAGGGTTGCCAAAAAGGGCCACGGCTGGGACGTAGGGATGGTGAGAGTAGGGAACGCAAGAAGGGGAGAAGGAGGGTCAGGACCGGGCAGGACCAAGGGAGGTCTGGGTCCGGGGCGGCGAAACTGCGTCCCCGCCAGACGGTCCACTCGTTCCACCCTCCACAGAGGCCGTTTCCCTCCCGACCCGGCACTCACCCGCCCGGGTCTGGGTCAGGGCCAGGGCTCCCGAAAGCAGCAAGAGGAGGGTCCAGGCTGCCATGATACTGATCCGAGGTAGTGGACTGTCAGTCGCTGCGGGTCCACACTTATTTTAATAACCGGGAACTACGGTGACGCTGATTGGCTTCTCCAGAAACCCGAAACCCAGCTGGAGTGAGAAATGGCGCCGAGTTATGTGTGTCCAGGCAGAAGGAGCTGAAGCAGAGTGTGGCAGGGAGCAGTGAAACTGGGGACAAGAAATCCCCAACGCCAGGCGTCCTCACTCCTAACCAAACGATCAGGTCTGAGAGCTAAACCCGGCTAACCGGGACTTTGCCCTGACTCCTGCTTCTCCTGCACTGAGCCTTCTTTGCTACACTGCCTTCGAGTCCCGGGCCTACTTAAGTCAGGTCTCCTTAGTTGCAGAATCTCTGTGTGTTGTTGTGGATTCATAGCAGCCCCACATGACAAAGTAGAACTGCCCTATAGAGTTTCATAGGTTGTAATCTTTAAAGGAGCAGATCAGACCGCCAGCTCTTTTCCCCTGCGGAGCAACTGGTGGGTTCCAACCACCACCCTGTGGGT